AACTGTTGTGCCAATGTTAGCTAATTACCAAAAAAGAGCTATCTAGGGAACAATGGAAAACCAGGAGATAGGTTCTGCTGGCATGCTCCCTAGTCTGAGTCTATGGTGAAGTCAAAAAGCAACCACTCTCTAGGATATTTATTAGAAAAAGGGAGCAGGAAATATCACCCAGATAATTCATTTTAAGTCCACAGAAGAGAGAAGAAGCAATAGAATACTGATATAACACCATGTCAATCACTGGCAGGGCTGCATTAATGAAGTTGAGATACCAGAGGTAAACAGAATTTGCCAGCTGTTGTTGTTTGAAAAGGTTCAGTGGATGTTGAGCATTTGAGGATTTAACAAGAGAGAAGTGTATTTGCATTGGGCTGCCAGGATTCATTTTTTTAAAAAAAAGTAGTCTTTTTTTTTGACAATTTTAGATTTATAGAAAAATGAAGCAGACAGTACAGAATTAATACATACCCCCAAACCCAATTTTTCCAATTTTTCCAAGACTAAATTACATTGTCTAAAGATATATATTTAAATGGTGGAACTTAAAAAATAAAGCAAGGAAATTATTACTATAAAAAGTAGTAGTATTTAAAAAGGCAACTTCAATTTCTAGGCAGATAAAGAAAGTAGCAGGGATGGGACATACTCTTCCACCTGAAACAACTAAAATAACCTCAACAAAAATGCTATGTGGAATGATGGTTTTCAGACTTTGAATAACAGGCAATGAAGAACAATGATCCTTGAGAGATGAGAAAACAAATGAGGTAAGTCCTATAATTGCCCCAGCTTACTAGATGCGGGGAGTTTTCAGGCCATTGCTATGGGAGGAGGAGCCTAGACAAAAACCAGCAGTTACCCTGAGTTAAGGATATGAAGCTGGGAGTCCAAGAGATAGGAGAAAGTACCAGCGAAGAGGGAGCTACCACAGAGAGAGCTCCAGAGATTACAGAAAGGCCACCTGAACACAGACAAGTGAGAAAACTAATGCAGGCCAGAGAAAACACCACCTAGAAGGAGCAGAAGGAAAATGTCTGGAGCTCACAACCAGCAGAAAGAGTTTGTGTTCCCACCAGCCAGAGTGCAAAACCTTGGCATTGGGCAAAGTACTCAAGAGGGTGTTCTGAGTAATAGAGAAAAATTAACCCTAAACAAAAAGCTGCTCTGGTACCACCTAATGATGCTACAAACAAGATATGAATGGATCAAACTATTTCCAAGTAACTTAACTGTGACCCAGAACACAGCTCAAGAATATATTTTTAATAGAGTACAGAAATATGCAGTGTTCAACAAGGTAAAATTCACAATATCAGGGGATTAATAAGGAGGAGGAAAGAAGAGAAGAAAAAGAGAAAGATATGACTCTAATGAGAAAAATGAATCAATACAAAAAGATGTAAACACGTATAATGAATAGATAATGACATTAACACAGTTATATTTCATAAATTCAAAAGGATGGGGAAAGATTGCTCATGTTAAATAGAGGCATGAAAGATATTTTTTAAAAGACCCAAGTTGAACTTCTAGAGATAAAAAATAAAATGTCTGAGGTGGGATGTGTAATTTAAAAAATCTAATAATAAGAGAATGAACTCAGTGAAAAATAGACAAAATATTTAATCAGACCCTTAACCAAAGAAGATATATAGATAGGAAATAAGCACATGAAAAGATGTTCAACATCATCAATTATTAGGGAAGTGCAAATTAAAACCATAGTGAGAAACTGTTGCATATGACTACAGTGAGTAAAAAGACCAACCATATCAAGTGTTGGTGAGGACTTGGAGCAATTACAGCTCTTATATGTCACTGTGAGGAATGTTAAATTGTACAACCACTTTGGAAAGCAGTTCTGGCAGTTTCTACAAAAATTAAACATACACCTATCATATGGCCCAGTGATTCCTCTCCTAGGTTTACCCAGGGAAAAGAAAGCCAATGTCCACACAAAGGTTTGTATGTGAATGTTCATGGCAACTCTATTTGCAATAGCCTCAAACTGAAATGACCCAAATGTCCATCAAAAGATGAAAGACTAATCAAATCATGGTATATCTGTAAAAATACTATTCAGCAATAAAATGGAATGAACTATTGATACACATGAAAAATATTGGATGAATCTCATAATTATGCTAAAAGAACCCAGGGAAAAGAAGACATGCTGCATCTCATTACTTACTACTCAGTTACTTTAACATATAGAAATTATTAATATTAAGACAATGTTTTATATAGAGTAAGGGGTACAAAGACCATTTGTGGTTTTGATTAAATTACTATTCTCAGATATTACTGGCACCTAAATTAAGAACCTAGAATAATTTTAGAGCAGAAAGAATATCCAGATAAATTGATCCACCTCCACCCCTTGATCTTACAGATTAGAAAGCTGAGGTTCATGGAAGTTACATGGTTTACTCAATGCCACATAATTGGTAGAAACCTAGAATTTTAGGAAGCTATTTCCACTCACAGTGAAGATCTCCTTTAAATTACAGGCAAGACATAATTTAAAAATACATTTTTTAGTAACCTGGCCTTATAAAATTCATTATTTGGGGAAATTTTTCTAAGAAAAAAAAAGTGACTATGTAAACCATAAGGAAATACTTCAGATGAAATTAATAAGTGATATTTCAGGTTTCCTTGAGCCCTATTCCTCTTACCTTGCTTTTATTCAAGTAAATTTCCTTGTTGGAGAAGATGTACCTCCACAGTTTTGCGGAGTCGTTGGTAAAATGAAACTGCTTGACTAGAGGGGTAATTTTCTCACAGATTGACCTAGAAATCTTCTGGCAAGTCCCAGAGACTTGAATGGGTAGGCCGCATCTCCTATTCCATCACTTTGGGCATGGAGTAGGATTTCAAGATATGAATCATAAGGTGACACAAACATTCAGACCTTAGAAGCATTTGTTATTGGTTTCTCACAACAGAAAGTGAAAATTTATTTCTCCTCTCCTACCAGCACCATCACACACACATACTTATTCTCATATCCCTTCAACTTTTCCATCTAGTTATATTGCAATCTTGTTAAGGTTTATATTCATAGTTTACATTATCATGACTATGTATGACTTAGAACTGAGCTATGCAGTAAAACCATTATTACCTTTCTTTTAGCAAAATATTTTTCCTCTGAATGTTTGTGTGTACATATACACGTGTGTGTACGTATTTATAGTTTTCCTTGCGGAATTCTTTGTTGTTTTTTCTATTCTTAAGAAGTAGTAACTTCTTGTGTAAACAAAGAGAAACATTACAGAAATATACCCATGCTATTTTTTTTTTTTAACAAATACTTCATGGGCGGTACAGGAAACACTGCTGGTGCCCACCTATACCCCCTTAATTCCTACTATCATGGCAAATATCATTCTGACTTCCACCTGTGAGTAGTTCCATTTCTTTGCATGAGAGTTTCCTTTGGGTCCAGAGTCTTCTTGACCTATGTGCATGCAATCCAAAAATACCAGGGAATGAATATTCCCTGAGAGTAGTCCTTGACTAACAACTGAAGAGCATTGCATAAATACTCCAACTCCCTCTCCTCTTAGGTAATATATCTGAGGCACATATTCAATGCTGTTTCTTAGTGTTCCCTAGTGGGATTAAGCTTCAGTTTCCTATGATGTCTTTTTCTTGAGTCAGTGTCTTGCTCGGCCCAGGCTGGAGTGCAGTGGCGTGAACTTGGCTCACTACAACCTCTGCCTCCTGGGTTCAAGCAATTCTCCTGCCTCAGCCTCCCGAGTAGCTGGGACTACAGGTGTGCACCACCATGCCCAGCTAATTTTTGCATATTTTGTAGAGAGGGGGTTTCTTCATGTTGGCCAGGTTGGTCTCCAACTTCTGGGCTCAAGCAATCTGCCTCCCAAAGTGCTGGGATTACAGGCCTAAGTCACAACGCCTGGCCCTAGGATGCCTCTTTGATGAAACGCTATTGGTTTCCTTCCTGTCCCTGTATCACTTTCCTACTCCAATAGTGGAAACTTATAGGATCACCTCCCAAACAAATTATTGTACTAGAATTCTTCTCCCCAGGCCTGCTTCTTAAACAATCCAAACTAAGACAATTAATGCTGTGCACAGCTAATTATGTCACATTATAAGGCACAAGATATTTGGCATCTCAGTTTTAGAGATGCTAAGATTGATCAGTGGATGCAGGCAGTATCAGCCTGATCCCCTCATTATAAATTTCTCTTTCCTACCTTTCACCTAATACTTTTTAGCACTCACTGATGATCATTGCCTATATCTGTTAATATTACTTCATAAGGTATTTTAAATGGTGTTTTTTAAATCCAGTATTTTTCAAAAAATTAGCTGGACGTGGTGGTGGGCGCTTGTAGTCCCAGCTACTTGGGAGGCTGAGGCAGGAGAAAGGCGTGAACCCAGGAGGCGGAGCTTGCAGTGAGCCGAGATTGCGCCACTGCACTCCAGCCTGGGTGACAGAGCAAGACTCCGTCTCAAAAAAATTTTATAAACCCAATAAATAAAAATAATAAATCCAGTATTTTTTTCTGCATTAGCTAAAATTCTTCTGTCAGCACAAACTTTTCCTTTATCAACTATTTGATTCCCCTGAAATATAGTTTGTACAGAGAGGGTAGGATAAATGTGTCCTTTTTGATGACTTTAAGTAGTTACCATGAATTTAACCCTGAACTATTGCCTGTTGTCTGAATCATTTTTAATATGGTTATTCCTAGTGAATATTCTATCAATTTCATTTTTTTTCAAACGAGGTTTCTGAGGGCTTCTGACCTCTCCGAGAGCCATCTCACTGATCACCCTCTAGAACTGGGACACAGAGTCATCCTGGGATTCCCTTCCACCAGTCTGTGGATTCCCTTCAGCTGTCTCCAGTGTAAAAATTCTTGTTTTCTGAATGCCTTGCTTTCATTTTTTGTGGAACATGTTCCTGGAACCAAGCCGGGCCAGGCTGTGTTTTCTCGCGGCCCAATAACGAGAAGCAGACAAACTAGGAAAGAAGGGAATTTATTGTTGCAACCAGATACAGGGAGAAGGCCAGAGATAATTCCACCAGACCAACTCAAAGTGTTACAATTTTCTTCGTGCTTATATAGGTTGGGGTTATGTGCCTACATGCAGTATAGCATTTGCCTAAGTCTACTGGTAACTAATTTTGTTTTGACTAGACGATCAGAGGCAAAAATGCTTGCTAAGTCTGATTAAAAGGGCCCCAGTACCTTCAAGGCCTGTCTACTGTGGTACGACAGTGATGACTTCTATCTTACCTTTTTTACAGCTTAGTTTGGAGATCTGCCTTAGGCTCTCCAGCGAATTTATTCAAACAGCTGCCTCTCTTGCTTTGACTCGTCTCAGATTTCATCGACCTGAGATGGGTCCTGGCACTAGGAATGCAAGACTGTCTCTTTATTTTGGTTTGCTCTAGGTTAGGGAGAAGTCTTGACCGCATGTTTCATTTCTAGCTTTGATGTCTGGGCACTGATTTCCCTAGGCTTAACTATTTACTCAGTGTTAAGGCAGCTCTGTGGAAATTAGTCTGTGTAACTGAAGTGCTGTGCAGGCCTGTCTGTGTGATTGTCATAGAGACTTTTCTGTGGGATTATCAGGGAGAATTGACCTGCCGCAATCCCCACTGTCAATTTGTGCATGATTTTTGTCATGCTTGTGGCAGAGGAGCTGCTGGAGTGCTGGACGTTGTGATCATTCTGGCTCTTTCCTGCTGAGAGGGGTCGTCATCAGGGGTGCTTGAACTGGGGTTGGAGTGGAAGAGGTCCACCTGTCCTCTGTTCATTTCGGGGTCTTAGGGGCAGTGCCTGTTGGAACATAACTGCATGAGTCCAAGGAATGTTCTGAAACAGCACACAGTAGCAATACATTCCACAGCATAAAGTGACACCTATGCCTAGGATAATGGCTAAGAACGTCAGAATTTTCTGCCACCAAGAGGGCCTTCCACCAAACCATGATGCAAGAAATCACTTAGTGACAACTCTGGGCTGGAGATGACCTGAATTTGCTGGTGCATATCTTTTAATGCCAGGGAGATGTTCCCAGAGTTATCTGGAATATATACACAGCATTCAGTTTTGATGAGGGCACAAGTTTCCCCTTGAGCTACAGTAAGGATGTCCAAGGCCATTCGGTTTTGTAGAATAGCCTTCTGCATGTGACACATTTCAGTATTTATTAGAGAGATGCTCTGGAGGCTGTCATTCAGAGTCCTTTTGGTAAAGTTAGCTGGGGCTTCTATATGCCATATAACAGTTCCTAGCCCTACTGAGGGCTTGAATATTGCAGCTAGATGATCGTACTAATGAAAGACTGACTTAGTCCACCTATTAATCATATGTGGAAGACAGGCTGGATTTTTTTTAATTTTTTTTGTACCCACCAGCCTTGTGCTCATGGGAGGCCTAGAGTGCAGCATCCTAGCCAGCCTACAGGGAGCCATGGCCACAAATTGGTGCCACAAAGCCACTGAGTCCTGTTGGGAGCATACTGGGCTGTTGCTCCCAATATTTAGGCTGGGCAGTTGAGACCAGTCTGTGGCAAATACATCCCTTTGCTGGAGTGCTATAATATGTTGGCACCGATCTGGGAGAATCCATCCCATAACCCATGTGGCATTGGGCCAGTGGTCAAGGGAGTGGTTTCATTGTTCCCAACACAAGGGGGCTAGTTGACTCGAGTGCCCAGTAGAGGTGGTTAACCGTATGAGCCCATCCCAAATTTGGAGAAAGCCACTCTGGTATCAAACATTTTGGGGTTTAAAAGTTTGCATAGGCACTTTTGGTTCTAACAAGCTAGTGCTATAACTTTGTCTATTGTTTTGTTAATCAAGAATGACTTTTCATGTCCTGGGTCATTTAAAGTTATGTTTATGGGCCATTCTGACATGTTTGCCCTAGTCACTCCTATCATTTGTGACCCAGGCCAGTGTTTTAAATCCAGGAAGACTTGTAAATGTCTCTAATCTTTCCCTCGCGTAGGTGAGACCCACCACAGTAAACCTGTGGTGCTAGAAAGGGGTAACAGGCCACAGACCCAATAGGAATCCTGCTGGAGGCTGTCTGCATAGTCCTGTGCCCATTGTAGAAAGAGGTTAGCAGTGTGTGCAGAAACAATACTAGGTACAAAGAGAAAGAATAGGATAAAAGAAATTCTTATCATTTTCTGAATAGAAACTTCAGGCCCTCTAGGGGCTCTGCCTCCCATTGAGTGGTTGCAGGTATTCCCATGGTGGAGTTCTCGGGTGACTGGAATTTCTTCACCCACACATGATGAACCCAAGGCTGGATGCCTGCTAGTGTCAGTGCCGAGTCAGTGGTGGACAGCCCGTCATAGGGCTCTTTCCCTTTCTCTTGTAGTTGTTGGGCAGGACCAGCTTCCTTCCATTTCTTCCGCAGCACGTGATCACCAGACTGGAGCGGGTGGTGGGCTTCCGCAAAGTCTATGACGTTTCTGTTAGAAGCAAAGTTATGCAAAGGGTTAAGAGTTTGTTCCAAGTGAGTGGCATAAGTTTTAACAGTTAGTTCCTTGTCTGGAGACATTCTAGCCACCCGGGACAAGTTGGCTGCAAAAGGCCTCCTGGAAAAGATTTCATAGGGACTTATTTTGATCCCACTTCTGGGAGCTATTCTTACCTGGAGCAGAGCTATCCCAAGCAACTGAAGCCACTTTAGCTGTGTTTCCTGACATAGCTTGGCGAGGGTTGTTTTTAAGGTATGATTTATTATTTCAGTTTGTCTGGAGGATTGAGGCCTCCAGGCTGTGTGTAGCTCCCATTTTTCCCCTAGTACTTTACTTACTTGTTGGGCTATTTCCTATGTGAATGAAGGTCCATTATCACTCTGGATAATGTCAGGAAACCCATATCGAGGAATGATTTCCTTTAGCAGTACCTTCACTACCTCCGTTGCCCACTCAGAGCAGGATGGGTATGCCTCTACCCAGCCTGAGAAGGCGTCCACCAGAACTAGGAGATATTTGTACCCTCCTGGGGCAGGTAGCATTTGAGTAAAGTCAATTTGCCAATTCTCTAGGGGTTGTTTCTCTCTCCCTTGCTGTCCAGGCTGTCCTGTATTATGGTCGTTGGGCTCATTTTTAACACAAAAGTGGCATCATAGGATTATACTTTCTAAATGGGCCCTCATTCCTTTTCTTTTCATATACTTCTATACAAAAGTTAACGAGACATCTTGCCCAAAAGGTGTGCCATCATGAATATATTTTAGTATCGGGTGAAGGAAAGACCCATGTCCTAGGTCATTTAAAGTTGTGCAGCCATCCTGATATATTTGCCCTAGTCACTCCCATCATTTGTGACCCGGCCCAGTGTTTTAAATCCAGGAAGCCTTGTATATGTCTCCAATCTTTCCCTTGCTTAGGTGAGACCCACCATGGTAAACCTGTGGTGCTAGAAAGGGGTAACAGGCCATAGGCCCAACCGGGATCCTGCTGGAGGCTGTCTGCATAGTCCTGTGCCCATTGTGGAAAGAGGTTAGCAGTGTGTGCAGAAACAATTCTAGGTGTAAAGAGAAAGAATAGGATAAAAGAAATTTTATCTCTGACACCCAAACTAGGCCTTTGCCATTCAATTTCCAGCCATTTTTCATCCTGAATAAACCCTTTGTCTTTGGTAGTCTTTTCATCCTCAAGACTGTACCTGGGTCTGAAGGCTGCCAAATCTATTTGGGGAATTAAAGGAGCCCGGAGTTCAACATTGGAGCTGGCCATGTGCCTGGCTGTGTAATCTAAGAAAGCATTTCCCCTAGCTACTTCAGAATTGTTGCGCTGATGGCCTGGGCAATGCATAACAGCTATTTCTCTTGGGGCCTTTATTGCCTCTGGTAGCTCTAACACTTGCCTTGTGTATTTGATTTCAGTATTGTCAGCCTTCAGTAGGCCCCTTTCTTTCCAGATAGTACCCTGTGCATGGACTATTATGAAGGCGTTTTTGGAATCAGTGTACATGTTGGCACTCTTACTTTGGGACAGTTGCAAGGCTCTAGTAAGGGCGATTAACTGAGCTTTCTGTGCAGAAGTCCCCGTTGGGAGATTTATTGCCTCTATTCCCTCTGAGACTCACTACAAAATAGGCAGTGTTCCTCCTTCCATTAATGGCTAAACTGTTCCTGTTCCTGAACAATGTCCGGTTTGCACATGAGAGGGCTGCGTCCTTCAAATCTGGGGGGCTAGAAAACTCTTGATCAGTAGCTTCTAGGCAGTCATGTATTAGTTCCTTTGATTCCCCAGTAGGTGGCAGCAAAGTGGTGGGGTTTCAGGTTCCAGGGGTCTGCAGTCTCACTGCAGGGTCATCAAGCAGGATAGCCTGATACTGGCCTAATCTGCCTGCCGTTAACCAATAACCACCTTTTGTTCTAACAACGCCAAGACTTAGTGTGGCACAGAAATCGTGGTGGGCTGACCTAGATCAGCTTCTCAGCTTCCTTGAGCAACAGGCAGGTGGTGGCTACTGCCCTAAAACAAGGGGGCCAGCCCCTAGCCACGGTATGGAGCTGCTTTGAAAAATAGGCCACTGGTTGTAGTATTTCTCCCAGGTTTTGTGTTAAGACCCAGAGTGCTAGACCTAGTCTTTCATGCACATGAAGTTGGAAAAGTTTGTGTGGGTTTGACAGTCCCGGAGCCAGAGCAGATATTAATTTATGCTTAGTTGTTCAAATGTGATTTAGTGTTTGATTTCCCATGGTCTGCTCCTTTTAGATATAGCTGCTTTACTATTAACCCATAATTGGGACTCCAGATTTTACAAAATCCTGCCATTCCTAGGAAGCCCTTTAGTTGCTTCCTGGTTGTGAGCGTTGTGATGGAGGCAATTGCACTCGCCTTTCCACCGTCAGAGCTTTAGTTGATCTTGTAACAGAAACCCTAAGTATTCTACAGTTTGCTTACATATTTAGGCCTTCTTACTTGAAACTTTATACTCACAAGCTGCCAAGTGGTTTAGGGCCTTTACAGTGTTTTCTTGACATTCTTGTTTTGAGGTGCTAGAAATTAATAACTCATCCATATATTGAAGTACACCCCATTTTCTAATTGCAAGCCTCTCAAGGCTTGAATCAAAGTCTCTCCAAATACAGTTGGGGAGTTTTTAAACCCTTGAGTTTAAAATACAGTCCAGCAATATTGAAACTGTGCAGCTGTCTCAGGGTCTGTCCACTCGAAAGCAAACAATAGTTGGCTTTTTATTTCCACTGGTATGCAAAAGAAGGCATCCTTTAAGTCTAACACTGTAAACCGTTCGTTATACTTAGGTAGTAAAGCAAACATAGCATATGGGTTAGCCACAGTGGGGTGAATGCCTTCCACAATATCATTAATTGCTCTGATATCTTGCACAAACCTATACTTATGGGAATGAAGATTCTTTAATGGCAGGAAAGGAGTATTGTATGAGGACTGACAAGGCTTTATTAAGCCATATTGCCATATTGCCAAAACCAGATTAATAACGGCTGGATAACTTCCAAGACTTCCTTCTTTAAGGGGTATTGCTTTTTTCTGGACAGGCTGGGGCCCCTTCCTTCAGTTTGTTTTTTATTGGACTCACATTAATTTCCCTCCCAGGTTGATCTGATACCCAGACCTCTGGCTTCACCTTGTCGAGGACTTCTTGAGGAATTGCCTCTGCCTCAGGGTGTGGGGCCTCAGTGCTCGCCAGCAGTGCTTGCAGCCGCAGTCCATGCTCTGGAGGCATTTGAAGGCACAGCTGACGTTTCTCTGAATGGAAGATGATCTGAGTCTCTAACTTGTGTAGTAAATCTCTGCTAAGTAAAGGTATCAGGAAGTCTGGCACATAAGTGAATTGGTGAGTTATCAAATTGTTGCCCACTTTACATGAAAGGGGGTGCAGGAACTGTTCTGATTTCAATTGCCCACTTACCCTGACTATATTGACAGAAAGTATCAGAAAGCTTAGTGATTGGTGTATTAACTACTGAATAACGAGCACCAGTATCAACTTTACCCGAGGCTCCTTTGGGGAAATTTTGGTGTCAGTTAGAGTTGGAGCTGCTGGGAGTCTTGGGCACCCTCAATCTTCCTCGGATTCATTTTTGGGTTTGACAGCCATAAGTGACCTGGGTTCCTTCTGAGTTAACTTGGGGCAGTCTGTCTTCCAGTGTCCTATTTCCTGACAGCAAGGATACTGGTCCTTTTCTACTTTCCCTTTCTGCCTTGGGGGTCCTTTTTACTTTGGGTTTCCTCCTGCAGCTGCCAGGAGTACAGCTGCCTGCCGAAGTGCCTTGGTTTCCTCGGCCTCCCTGCTATTATGTACCTTGAATGCAATGTTGATTAATTGGGACGCTTCATTCCAATAGCCCCCTCCACTTTTTGTAGTTTCTTCCTAATGTCTGGGGCACTTTGCCCTATAAAGGTCATATCCACCATTCTAATTCAGGGTCCTGCGGGTCTAACTCTGTATACTTTCTATACGTCTGAGAGATCTGTTCCGTAAATTCTGAGGGGTCCTCAATAGGTGTCTGCTAAAGTGCCTGTACTTTGTTCAGACTTTCAGGTCTTGGCACGCTTGATCCAATGCCCTTTAGGATGCACTTTCTATAGTGTTCCAGATGATTCATCCTAGCTCCACCTGCCTCATTAGGATCCCAATTTGGGTCAGTTGGGGGAGTTGCCTCTTTAGGGTCCGGGCCATCATTGGGGCTTTCATCATGAAGGCACGGTGCCTCCTCCTTTGCCTGTCTAACACTAGCCTTCTCTCATCTGCTATGAGCGTGATGTTTAGGAGGGCTTGCACATCAGCCCATGTAAGGCGATGGGTGGCAAAGATAGCAGTACACAATTCGGTCATCTTCTGGGGATCCGCCCTGCAGGAGAATTGGAATTTTTCCAATTCAGTAAATCAGACATGGGAAAGGACTATATGCCAAATAATATCCTGCCGGCTCCTTGCTTATGAACTCCCACAGGATATTGTTGGAGGGAAAATTGCCCTACTCCTGGCTCAGTATCTCCCTGGTCAAATTTAGTGCCTTGTCTAGTTTGGGAGGAAGAGACTATTTTTGCAGCCTCCTCCTATTCCAGGGGTGAAGGTCCTTCCCCCTTTTGAGTGAGTGGCGGGGCATTGACTCCCTCTGGGTCGTCACTTACTGGGTTAAGCACATTTAATACTTGTTGAGTCTCTAATTCCTTTTCTCCCTCTCCCTGGGACTTGAGACAAACCTTGTCTGAGCGCTGCACCATTAGCTTATTTCCTTTGACTTCTTGATTATGCGGTAACATAAACGCTTGTGTATAAGGCTCCTCTGCCTGTCTCCCCTGACACTGACAAAACTGTTCTGATAGATAGTAAAGTAGCTTAAAGATCCAAAAATTGGCCACCATTCCCCAGATCCCAAAACATATGTTGGCTAAGCCATATTACAACAGTAAATCATTTTATTTTTAGTAATGGGAGAGTACCCATACTGTTTCCAATCCGACAGGATCTTTCCCAGAGGGCTCCCTGGGGGAAGGGAGCTGCATTCCCCATCTTAGATTCAACAAGGCTATGGGTACAGACACAGAGATAGTTTCAGATAGACACGGACACAGAGATAGTGTCAGATAGACACAGAAGGAAGTGCGCCTAGGTGAAAAAGGCCTGCAAACCAAGTAGCAAACGCGTGTACAAAAAAGACCTATTATCTTCCTAATGGTACTGAACGAAAGGCTTAATAGCCCAGATAAGGAAATAATAAATGGTCCGGTTTTCACTGACCCTTTGAGCATGTCTGCGCCTGCCAAACTTCCGTTCTATCCCAGTGATGAAAAGGATATGCGGTTTTGTCCACGGGACAGCCCTCAGTAGAGTCCCCAGGACAATCTTACCCAGTAACTGCTGGGAGTTTCCTCACGACTGTCTCCTCGCAAACTGCCAGTCACCAAAGGCAGCACCATCCTGGCGGCCTCCTGGCTGGCTTGCCAAAATTTTTGTTCCTGGAACCAAGCTGGATCTGGCTGTGTTTTCTCGAGGCCCAATAATGAGAAGCAGACAAACTAAGGAGGAAGGGAATTTATTGCTGTAACTGGATACAGGGAGAAGGCCGGAGATAATTCCACCAGACCAATTCAAAGTGTTACAACTTTCTTAGTGCTTATATAGGTTGGGGTTATGTGCCTACATGCAGTATAGCATTTGCCTAAGCCTATTGGTAACTTATTTTGTTTTCACTAGAAGGTCAGAGGCAAAAATGCTTGCTAAGTCTGATTAAAAGGGCCCTAGTACCTTCAAGGCCTGTTTACTGTGGTACCAGAGTGATTATTTCTATCTTATCTTTTTTACAGCTTATTCTGGAGAGCTGCCTTAGACTCTCCAATGAATCTATTCAAACAGCTGCCTCTGTTACCTTAACTTGTCTGAGATATGGGTCCTGGCACTAGGAATGTAAGGCTGTCTCTATTATTTTGGTTTGCTCCAGGTTAGGGAGAAGCCCATGCAAGCCTCCTACTGACCATATGTTTCATTTCTAGCTTTGATGTCTGGGCACTGATTTCCCTAGGCTTAACTGTTTGCTCAGTGTTAAGGCAGCTCTATTGAAATTTGTCTGTGTGACTGAAGTGCTATGCAGGCCTGTCTGTGTGATTGTCAGGGAGAATTGGCCTGCCACAGAACATATCCTCCAGTATTTCCTTGAGAAAGCATAAATAGCAATTCCAAATTCTAACTGAAAATACTTTCAGAGCTCTGAAGGTATTGGTCCATTTGTCTTCTAACTTGCAGTATTTTTCTTGACAACTTCTAAGTCATTTTTATTCCTGACTCTTTGTTCGTGCACTCTTCCTCTCTTTGGAGCCTTGTAGAGTTTCCAAACAATTTCGAACTATTGTATAACAGTATTCTGAAACTTCATGGTGCTATGATTTTTCCATGCTTGATTTTATCTGCTGAGTTAGGCATTCAGGGAAGCATTTCAGTTCTAGGAAATTTCATTAAATAATTGCCATGGTGATTGCCTTCTGTGAGTTTTCTCTCTTTTTTTTTTTTCTTCCTAGCACTTCTAATACTTGGATGTTAGATTTCTTGGACTGTTCTTTTCTTTCTTTTCTAAAAAATTATACTGTATTTCCCATCTCTTGGGATTTTTGCTCTGCATTCTGAAAGACATATCAACAATTTCTCCCCATTCCTGCTATCATATTCGAGAACCCAATTTTGTTTCCTGAATATTTATGGCATTGCCATTTCACTGATAAATCTTTCAGCATGTATCTCACTAATATGTTTTGGCTCTGTGTCCCTACCCAAATCTCATCTTCAATTGTAATCCTGACATGGAGGGAGGGAAGTAATTGCATCATGGTGGTAGTTTCCCCCATGCTGTTCTCATGATAGAGAGTTCTGACAAGATTTGGTGGTTTTATAAGTGGCGGGTTTTCCTGCTGTTTGTTCTCCTACCTCCATGTAAGACGTGCTTGCTTCCCCTTCCATCATGATTGTAACTTTCCTGAGGCCTCCCCAGCCACGTGAAACTATGAGTCAATTAAACCTCTTTCCTTTATAAATTACCCAGTCTTGGGTATTTCTTTATAGCAGTGGGAAAATGGACTAATATACTCTCAAATGACTTATTTAAAAAATATAATAACACTGCTGTTTCTCACACCAAAAAAGTAAGTCTTTTATATCGAGTTCAGAAACTTCAAATTTCCCATACAGTCTCATAAATTTTTTAAAAAGTTTTTTTGTTTGGATCAGTGTTCAAATATGTTTCAAATGTTTCAATTGCTCCATTTTTATTTTATAATCTTATTTTGTTCTTTAGTTTTTCCTCATTTATTTTTTCCTATCTTTGAATTATCGAAAACTTAGGTCATTAATGATGTAGTTTTTCAGAGTTTGGGTCTGACTAATTGCATTTGTAGTGTTTTCACCTCTTCCTCTTTCCTCTGCATTAACTGTAAACCTATAAATTGTCCTGAAGACTTGATTAGAACCAGATTTGATTTGACTTTTTCATGATTTTCATCAGAAGACAAAAAGTTAGTGTTCTTTATTTTCATGATATTTGCAGCCATTGAGGATGCGATGGTTAATACTGAGTGTCAGTGTGATTGGATGGAAGGATGCAATATTGATCATGGGAGTGTCTGTCAGGTTGTTGCCCAAGGAGATTAACATTTGAGTCAGTGGGCTGGGGGGAAGACAGATCTACCCTTAATTGAGTGGGCACCATCTAGTTAGCTGCCAGTGAATATAAAGCAGGCAGAAAAACGTGAAGAGGCAAGATGGGCCTAGCCTCCCAGCCTACATCTTTCTCCCATGCTGGATGCTTCCTGCCCTTGAACATCAGACTCCAAGTTGTTCAGTTTTGGGACTTGGACTGGCTCTCCTTGTTCCTCAGCTTGCACACAGCCTATTGTGGGACCTTGTGATTGTGTAAGTTAATATTTAATAAGATCATATATATATATGAGTTTATTAAGTACAAATATGTATATGTATATATATGTATATATCCTATTAGTTCTGTCCCTCTAAGAGAACCCTGACTAATACAGATTTTGGTACCAGGAGTGGTTCTAGAGGAACAGAATATTAAGGATGGAGTTCTTTCATTGGTTTTGGGGTTTCTGGAGTTGGCTGCTTAATATGATTCGACCCAAAAATGCTAAGGACTCTATTTCTAATAGTATGGAGAACACCAATAGTCCTTGGCAGAAACTGTTTAGAGAGTTATGCAAAATAAATGCATTTGACACTCCTGATTCACCACTTGTGAGAGGCAAGGAGTTCAGTGACTATACATAGTACCCATGACCATATATGGAACACCAAGGAACATAATGAAGCTGGCTGGTTGCTCCTAAGTTCAGTGGACAAAGTGATAAAAGAAAATAATAAACTCAGGGATTCTGTCTCCCAGCTTCAAAAGTAGATACTGAGCCTCAGATCTGCTAAGATTGCCCTGAGTGAGATTCTTATCTCCTACAGAGAAACAGCTGAAATTGTGGAAAAAGAGACACAAACTCTTATCATGCGAGTGGCTGACCTGCAACGAAAGATGCATGTAGAGCTTCGCCAGGTGCCTACTGTTAAAGTGAAGGCATTGACTGGAAAAGAATGAGACCCTGCAACTTGGAATGGGGATGTGTTGGAGGGGCCCTGATGAAGCTGGGGACACTAAGTTTGTAAACTCTGATGAACCTTTTTTGCCAGAAGAAACAGCTTCCCCATCTCCAGTAGTGGCAACATTCCCTCCGTGACCTATGCTGCCATCAGCTTTTCCACCTTTGACTGAGGAGATAAATCCTGCGCTGCCTGAGGCAACAGTGATGGCCTCCCCTGAGGCAGTTGCCAGTCAAGATAATATTGGTTTTCCTCAGAAGCCACCCCCAGCACCTCTGTTTGCCTCTAGATCTGTAAATAGACTGAAGTCCCAGTGGCCCCCTAGAGGTGAGGTTGAGAGTGTGACTCATGGGGAGGTGCGCTACATTCGAAAAGAACTGTTTGAGTTCTCTTATTTATTTATGTATTTATTTATTTATTTTTATTTTGAGATGGAGTCTGGCTCTGTTGCCCCGGCTGGAGTGCAGTGGCATGATCTTGGCTCACTGCAAGCTCTGCCTCCCAGGTTCATGCCATTCTCCTACCTCAGCCCCCCACGTAACTGGGACTACAGGCACCTGCCACCACTCCTGGCTAATTTTTTTGTATTTTTTAGTAGAGATGGGGTTTCACCGTGTTAGCCAGGATAGTGTGGGGAAAACAAAGAGAGATCAGACTGTTACTGTGTCTGTGTAGAAAAAGGAAGACATAAGAAACTCCATTTTGATCTGTACAAAGAAAAATTGTTCTGCTTTGAGATGATGTTAACCTGTAACTTTAGCCCCAACCCTGTGCTCACAGAAATATGTGCTGTATTGAATAAAGTTTTATGGGATTTAGGGCTGTGCAGGATGTGCCTTGTTAACAGTACGTTTGCAGGCAGTATGCTTAGTAAAAGTCATCGCCATTCTCCAATCTCTATTAACCAGGGACACAATGCATTGAGGAAAGCCGCAGGGACCTCTGCCCAAGAAAGCCTGGGTATTGTCCAAGGTTCCCCCCACTGAGACAGCCTGAGATATGGCCTCGTGGGAAGGGAAAGACGTTACTGTCCCCCAGCCCGACACCCGTAAAGGGTCTGTGCTCAGGAGGAATAGTAAAAGAGAAAGGCCCTTTGCGGTTGAGATAAGAGGAAGGCCTCTGTTTCCGGCAGGTCCCTGGGAATGGAATGTCTCAGTGTAAAGCCGACCCTTTGTTCTATTCTGAGATAGGACAAAGCCACCCTGTGGCTAGAGGCAAGATATGCTGGCAGCAATACTGCTCTGTCACTCTTTGCCATACTGAGATGTTTGGGTAAAGAGAAACATAAATCTAGCCTAGTGCACATCCGGGCCCAGTACCTTCCCTTGAACTTATTTATGACGCAGATTCCTTTACTCACATGTTTTCCTGCTGACCTTCTCCACACATCACCCTGTTAACCCTGTTCTGCCACACTCCCCTTGCTGAGATAGTGAAAATAGTAATCAATAAATACTGAGGAAACTTGGAGACTGATGCGGGTGCAGGTCCTCACATGCTGAATGTGCCGGTCCCCTGGGCCTACTGTTCTTTCTCTATAGTTTGTCTCTGTGTCTTGTTTCTTTTCTCAGTCTCTCATCTCCACCTGATGAGAAATACCCACAAGTGTGGAGGGGCAGGCCCCCTTCAGATGGTCTCGATCTCCTGACCTCATGATCAGACCGCGTCAGCCTCCCAAAGTGCTGGGATTACAGGCATGAGTCACCACACCTGGCCTGAGTTCTCTAATTTATATAAACAGCAATCTGGAGAACAAGCATGGGAATGGCTATTAAGGGTGTGGGATAATGGTGGAAGGAACATAGAGTTGGATCAGCCTGAATGTATTGATTTGGGCCGCCTAAGCAGAGATTCTGCATTCAATGTTGCAGTTCAAGGAGTTAAAAAAGTTCTAATAGTTTATTTGCTTGGTTAGCTGAAATATGGATTAAAAGATGGCCCACTGCCAGCGAGCTGGAAATGCCT